TATAAATTATAATTAAGTATTTATAAATACCCAAATGGGCACCTTTGGAAGAGAGGTAAACAGATGAACTTGAGACTTTATTGTCCAATGACCAATCGGAGTACAGACAAAGTGCATAAATAATGTACACACTTGTACTCTAATATGAATCTTCATAATTCAATATGTCATGTGTTGTAACATAAGTACTTAATGTACTCATATGAAATAAAGAAATGTTTTCTGAATTTTAGTGCTTGCAATTTTTGTCACTTTTGTGTGGACCATCATTCTTAACTGTCTTCACTTTTGTTGCCACTCTTGTCTCTTAAGTCTTCAATTAACACTGGATTTAAGGGAAATTTTGTGAAGCCTAGCCTGCAGGAGGCCATGACTTGGGTGAAGAATCCATGGAATAAAATCACTGACAGCTGTGTTGCCAATGCACTACAAGCAGATTACGTGGACAAGAAGGGCTCATTTAAGGAGAGCTCTATTGCTGTACATGAGAACTGGGAGACAATAGTTCTATAGGAAATGGAGTTGCAAAAAATTTAGGCCATAATTCAAGGTATGTAGAGTTATGATGATGTTCCAGAGGGAGATGACATGACTATATCTGGAAAAAATGTAGATTTCTTTGTATGAATAAATGAATAAATGTAGCTTGTTGTACCTGAAAATAAGCCCTATTGCATCTTTTGGAAGAAAGATTAATATAAGACCCGGTCTTATTTTTGGGGAAATAAGGTATGTACCCTTGAAATAATATGATGAGAATGACACTTCATCTCTGGTTTTCCTCCCCAAAACATACAGCCCCAATGTAATTATTAGAAAAAGAGACAAATTCCAGTAGAGGGGCCTTCTGCAAAATGCATGACTAGTACTTTTCAAACCTGTCAGTCATAAAAGACAAAGCAGATCTGAGAAACTGTCACAGTCAAGAGGAACCTAAAGAGACATGATGACTAAATGTAATGTAGTATCCTGGATGGGATCCCAGGACAGTAAAAAGAAATATGAATAAAGTAGTTTCTAATTAATAATAATGTATCAACACCGGTTCACTAACAGAAAACATATAAATGTACCAAACTAATGGAAGATGTTAACAGTAGAGAAAACTGAGTGTGGGGTATATTACCTCACTAGCTATAAATTTTTTAAAAACCTGAAATAGTTGTAAAAATAAAGTCTATGAAAAATTCAAAAGCCCCCAGATGAGAGTTGCTGGCAGCCAGCAGTTCTGGGAGAATAGAGGTATGCAGTCAGTGTGTGGGCATTTGCACTACCTGAAACTGTATCTGCCAACATGAATGGCCAGGACCATCCTAGGTGCCCTTTGGGGGAAATTTGAAAACTCTCCTCTGCCATAATGATCTTCTCTTAGAGAATCTGCCAGCATAGAATGGGTCTAATTAGAGTCTGCACAGAGGCCTCATTAAGGTTGGGAGTCCTAGCAGACCACCAGAGATATCTAAGGCTGAGACTAGGGTGCCTGACTCTGCCAAGCCTTGACAACCCGGTGGGAGGAGCAGCTCACAGGCATGTATCCGTCTATCCTTGTTCCTAGGAAACATCAGGTTGCGGCATCTCCTCCCCCCATTTTCTTGGGCCTTTCTAAGGATACAGTTTAGATGAGCCCTGAGGCTCTACTTTGAGGTTTTAATTATATCTTCCTATATGACATGAACTGGCAATTTCAGCTGATAAAGTCCCCAAACTACAGAACTGACAAAATGTCTCAGTTCTGTGGACACTCAGGAGGCTGTGGGTAACCCTTAGTTAAATTTGAGTATCTAAACAAGAGCTGATGGTACCAATGACTTAGTTTCTACGAAATTCCTGAATGAACAAGTATCTCTATTTGAACTCCACAGGCAGCCAAGAGCATAAGCTTCTCTGCTTATGACTTGTGTATTTTGGTAAACACTGATTGAATTGTTTACCCTGGAAGAAAGCTGACCAGCCTCAATCCGGTCAGTGTACCTCAAAGCAGCCATATTAAGTACAAAGTCTACTCGATGTTCTATAGTTGTGGCCACATATGGCCATTAGTCAGTACATTTAAGAGTGACATATACTGCTAGATTTTTCCAATTTTCCTTTTGAATTTTAAAATTGGGACACTGTTGTGTCATAGCCAGAAGATGGAGTGTTGAATGGTAGTTAATATATTGCCAAGAGTTTTATCTTTTTTTCATATTAGTTTTTGGAAAAATACTGTTAAATTATGTGCTGGGCCTGAGCCAGACCAGCCTAAAAGTAGAATAATTAAGATGGAAATGAAGCATTAACAAAGAAGATTAGTAGCTTCTGTCTTGACCAACAGAGAATCCTCTCACAAACAAGAACTGGAGAAAGAGTCCTTAGAAAAAAGTTTTTTCTTTGACTGTTTTCTTAGTCCATCATGTTAGGCAGATATTATCCATAAAATTTCATTCCTAACTGACTTTGTTCCAGGCTTTTGTGTATGCACAAGTAAGCCCAGAGAGGAGCTGATAAGGGATGCCAGGCTCTGTTCCTATTGATTGAAGATTGGGATTTACTAGTGCCTGGAAAGTTCTACCCAATTTCAGCTTCTGCAGTGTACCCAGCAGAGGGAATGATAAATACTACTGTGCCATTGGGAATGTCACTTTGGAGAGTGGCATGAATGATGGTAAAAGACAAACACAAGTTCCAGAAAAACTTGGATTGGCTTTCCTGTCAACGCTTCGGAAATGAGAGAAGGGAAACTATTGATAGAAAACACTGCATGTCCCTACTGCCGTGTTATATAACAATGAGTGTGCTGTCCAAAGGTGCCTCGTACTGCCTCTGGAGAAACCAGAACACATCTTCTGCAGAGCTTGCTTTTAGAAACTATTCTATTTTCCTTCCAAGGGAAACCAAAGCAGAGAGTGAACAGAAGTTGAAAAGTTTCAGAGAAAGTTTAGAACACCAGAAGATACTGTAAGACTGTTTTTGGGAAATTCTCTGAATAGTCTATCCTCCTCACTACTAGAAAGAGATGGCTTCATGCAGGCTGTGAAAACTGACAGGTGACTTGATTACCTGCTTTCCCTATTGCTTGTTGTAGTCAGCAATACTACATTGTCTTCAGGGCAGCTAGTGGGTTATGTGAGTAACAAAGCCAAAGAAGCTTCAAAACATGGTATTTCTATGGCATTCTCTTTATTTCATATATAGAGAGTTGAGAGCAGTTCTGGAACACAGTAAGTGCTCCATAATTGGTGGCTGTTGCAGCTGACACTGTTGACATGCTGGCCCATATTCCTTGGCCTACCTCTGAGTCTGCCAGCAGCTGGCATTGCATGGTTGTGGATCTCAACCTGTTTTCGTCTAGTATCCTGTACTTCCTTGGCTTCTCTTGCCTTTGCCCTTTGGAGCTTGTACACTTCTTGGCTGGACAACCTAGAAATGCTGCAGTATTGAAAGGCCTCTGGAACAGATCTCAACCACAGAAATGGAAGTCGATAGATAGGCACACCAGCTTCCATGTCCTCAGGAGAGCCAATTCTGAGGCTTGTTCTACAAGTTTCCTCAAAGGATCCTCAGTAGAATTGAGCTCCAGTTGCCCATAAAGGAAGCCCACTCATTAAAACACTCTTTTCTTCTCTTTTCTCTCTTTTTTATCTCACTTTCTCCACTTTCTCTTGTGTGTCCTGGGATTACCTCCCATATTAACTCCCCAAACCCAAATCCTTTCTCAGGGTGTATGTTTTGGGAAACCAGAGCTAAAAAAAAGTATTGTTGATATTAACCACTGCTGTGCATGGGCCTCTGGGCCACAAAAAATAGTAGAACAAAAATTCATTATTTATGGCTGCATCATAATTTATCATGTGAAGATAAATAGATACACGTTGGGTTTTGGATTTATATAAAAGGACCACAAATTATTGAAGTAATAAGAAACAGGCTTTCGAGATAGTGGCTGTGGCTGAAAACCAAAGAAAAACATTAATATATACTAAAATGTAGGAAGAAGTAGTGGCTGCATGGTAACATGTACAGCAACTCTTATGCTCATGGGCCACAAACCTTATCATGGGCCAACATGAACAGAAAATTATGTGTGGTAGGCACACACAGTGTCCTGTACTACCACTGCATGGAGGAAAAAAGCTATTCAAAGCTTTTAGTTTAATATAAATTCATTCCTCTAAAGGAAAATGCCATCCTAAACATTTTTTACTTGCAAAAACAATCTTCAAGCTATAGAGCAATTTATTTCACATGACATTTACGGAAAATCAACAGAAGTAGCTTTTATAACGTGTGAATCCACAAATCACGTTTCCTTGCTATGGTTATGCATTGAAATCTCATGAGATCTTTTCTGGTGCTGCCTCTGGGAGACAGCCTTTAGAGATGATTGTTTCTGTTCACATGTGTATCCTTTTCTCAATGGAAAATTTATATTATTCCCTACTGAGGCACTGCTGCTTTCTTCATTCCCAGGCCCACAAAGACAGTCATTGATAAGCATTGCTACAGTCTGCCTTAATGCTTTCATTGTTGACAACATTTCATATGGTGTGTTACATGAAACAAACACAAAAATTGAAAAAAGAAAAACTGAAGTGGATTCAAGATGTATTAACAGAAAGTAATTTACCTGAGGCAAAATAATTTAAATATGGAAATATGGGTGAGTTCAATGACCATAATCATAACAGAAGCCAATGAAATTTGATGAGGGCATTGTCACCCAACCTTAGCCCATCCTTATTCTAAAGAACCTTTCCCCCTTACTACACATTTCCTTCAACATGTGGAGGGTGGGTTTCATATCGTCCCCTGAGCTTGAGCAAGGGAAACATGGGGTCTCACAGGGTGATGGGTAATTGCAGCATTCACTTTTCAATCTGGGCTATTGCAATTTCTCATTTAAAGCTGGCCAATGGATGAGGAATGGTAAGTGATCACTTTCTATTGGCTTGGTCGGAATAATCATTATATTTAAATTTTTAGTTTATTAAACTTTTATTTTTCTAATTGAGGCTAGATCTTGTATCTTAAGGACTTACAGGTTTAGAGCAAGGACATAATGACCAAAGTGAGGATAAATTGAAATATAAGACTGGGATAAGCTTTCAGATGGATAGGGTGGTATTGGAATGGCGGAGAATTAATCTAAGTGAACACAGGGTTTGGTTGTGATTGGAATAATTTGTCTGCAGTCAGTAAGACATTTGGATACTGGTCAATAAGAAAGAAACCCCCAAAGAAAGGTTATTTATTGAGAATCCACTAACCCAAAGAAGGCAAAGATCTTATTAGGTCCTCTACCACCAGCTGGAATTTCTGGTATTAATAACAGCCTTTAACACACAAAGCTACCTGTTCAAGTGAATTGAGACTGTTTTAGATTCATTTTGAAGAGATTAGCTGCAAAAATTATGCAAAAACTTTCAAACTCAAGTTATAGGAAAACAGTTTCTTGATAACCACAGTGGTCTCGGGAGGGTGAGAATTATTAAATCAGGACTTCTTTTTTCTTTATTGTGGCCAATTCACATAAAAAATTCATCATGCCAAATAAGGACTTCTTAGTCTTTTTTATGCCCTTGACTCCTTTACAGTCTGGTTAAAAACT